TGTGTGTGTGTGTGTGTGTGTGTGTGTCTCGAGTCGATTCAGTCAGCAGTCAGTCAAACACAGATGAGATGTTTAATCTCTCAGTCAAGTAACTCTCACATTACATCACTCAATTGATTTTTTCATTCTTTGATATTTTTATATCAGGCCTTAAACGCTTGAGCCGACACATAAACATCTTTATACTCCAGACAGCGGCTGCTTCGCGCAACAACATTCAGACTAAATCCCTCAAGCTGCTGTTGCATCCTCTAGTGTTTTAAAGAACACTTCCATTTGTGAGAAAGCAAATAATTGTTTTATTCATCAAGGACGCATTAAATTCAACAAAAGTACCAGTAAAGTCATTTATAACGTTACAAAATATTTCTATTTCAAATAAACGCTGTTCTTTTGAACTTTCTGTTCATCTGTGAATCCTGAAAAATAAAATATATCACAGTTTCCTCAAAAATATTGTGCAGCACAGCTGTGTTCAACATTGATGATACTCAGAAATGTTTCTCGAGCAGCAGATCAGCATATTATACTGATTTCTGAAGATCATGTGACACTGAAGACTGGAGGAATGATGCTGAAAATACAGCTGCACATCACAGAAATACATTACAGTTGAACACATATTCACATAGAAAACAGCTGTTTAAAATTATAATAATATTTCACTGTTTTTATTGTATTTGTGATCAATTAAGCCTTGGTGAGCAGAAGACACTTTTTTCAAAAACAGTAAAAAATATATTTTTGGACTTTTTTGAAAAACATGCAATTCTCAATTTCTCTTTAATTTTTTTTACAGTGTTTAAATTATTTTTTTATTTCATTTACATACAGTAACTTACAGTAATGAAGATTGAGGGAAATACGTGGAAATAATTGTCATGAAAACAATGTTAACAATGCAAAGACAATCGTAACGATCCTAAAACCTATTCTTAACATTCTTAATTAAAATCCCTTTATTTTTCTTCTTTTGATGTAGGGCTGAAATCTGAGCCAGGCGTGTGTTTTTTGACAGGTATCGTGAGATTCTCTCGTATCCGTATGCATGCACACTTCACCACAAACAGCAGTTCAGAGGAGAAATGCATGGTTTACAGGTTCCTGCATATTGAATTACAGCATTTCTTTTTGGTTTCACATGTCAAAAAGCAACATCAATGTTTAATGAAAACTACATCTGGGCGTTTCACTACGGGCCACAGCATTCCAAGAAGCACAAACCCCATCAAACCGCATTTAGCCTGCATTACCCACATGCACTCCAGTATGATAAATAAACACCTGACTACCACTGGGATAAATCCACTGATAACCATGTTCTTTAGCAGATCAGCTATGTGTCTGTTTGATAGCTTCAAATCAAAGCATCAAAGTGCTGCGAGTCACACAAAAAAACATTTCAGCACTAGTACTAGTCATGACATACTTAACTAACACCACTTATAACTGGTGTTTGCTCTACTAGTCTCTTAAAGGGATAGGTCACCCAAAAAAAAACAAATTCTGTCAGTTGCTGGTAGCCATTGAAGAAGTCAATGGCTACCAGCAACTGCTTGTTTCCCAACATCCTTAAAAATAACTTGTTTTGTGTTCAAAAGAAAAAAGAAACTGAAAGGTTTTTGGGTGAGTTGTCCCTTTAAGTGAGCTATGAACCTGGTTTGTTATCAGTATACAATAAGTACATACTGGCAGAATGCTTTGGAAATTTCATTTATCGTTCTCCATTTCCTATTGTCATTATTCTAAAGTGTTCTGGTCCTTTTAACGAACCACATGGTGGAAAATATTAACCGCTCCTTCTGCATCAGGCATGATCAGACACCAAATTGATTAATTGACCAAAAAAGAAAAATCAACACACTCATATCTCTCTTCTAGTAAAGGGCCAGCACTGCTGCATCATTAACTAAACAAACTCCTATAGGACAACCACTCAACCATTCAGACATCTGAACAGAAATAAAATAAGAGGGGTTTTTTTCTATCAAATTCAAGACTTTTTAGGACCTGCACAAACAAAATTAATGGGTGTTCAGAGAGAAAATATGAGAGTTTACATTGATTTAAATGCCAGATATTGTTTATTGTGTAACCAAAATAACAGCCAGGGAGAAAATGTATGCATAAGGAATTTTTAATTATTAACAAGACAGAAATTCGCCAGGACTCTTGTTTTGAGATGCCTATGCTTTACTACTTCAGCTGCTCTTTCAATAATAGGGCTGGGCAAAAAAAATAGATTTTTCGATTAATCGTTTTTTTAAATGATATCGATTCTCAAAAGCCGCAAATCGATCTTTTCCGGGATTTATTTCAGCACATTTAAAACAAGATCTGATTAACGTGAATCTCATCATTAGTCTTCTCCACTAGATGTCACCCTTATTTACCTTGCGCGATGTTACAACAGAAAGCCCGTCATTCATTCAACGCTTCTCATGGCCATATGCGTGATTCGCGATGCTCAGGTGAAGTGCTATAGTAATGCTATAAATCTGCGGAAGCATCTGATATCACGCATGAGGCGCCATGATTTCCGCAATGAATGAATGGCGGATGGCGCACTGTTTTGTTTACTACACACATACTAAAGCGCGGATGACGCTCGCGGTGTTTTCAGCTTCTGCCGTCTCACTATATGATGATATGAACACGAATGTCATCTCCAGCTGCTCTGAGAGTCACTTCATTAGCATTTACCGTTTCATTTGAGAAAACTACCTAGTATAGATTTAATATACTGTAATTCATTATGACTACAGTCTCAAATATTATTGAACATATTAAACATTTATTTAATTTATGAGTCATTTTCTCCTTTGAGGATCCACCAAACTCACTTGTGGAGAAAATTTTGTCTGTTAATAAGGCCAAAAATCCCTCTAGCAAGTTTTTAGTTTTAAATACAACATTTTTAGAAATAGCACTATATTCTTAAGTCTACTTATGCAAAAGTGCCTCTTTTGAGTCACTTCTTTTTAATGAATCAGTTGAATTGGTGCATAAATCGATCTGAATTATTCTTACACAAATTGGTTTGGATCAAATGATTGTTCAAAATCTTTATCCAATAATCGCAAATGCATACAGTATGTGCAAAAATGAAACTATATCTACTTATGAATCACTTGATGCTTTTGGGAATCCAAAAGAGGATTCGTCAGATTTTAGTCGCTCCGTCTGTAAAGTTTGGCTCCAGTGAGAAGCAGTGAAAACTTTGGAAGTGCAGACCTGTAGTTTTGTGTCTGTTCTTGTGTTTACTCTCGGTGTGTGTGTGTCTGTGTGTGTCTGTGTGTGTCTGTGTGTCTGTGTGTGTGTGTGTCTGTGTGTGTTTGTGTGTGTGTGTCTGTCTGTCTGTCTGTCTGTGT